AGCATGTGAAAAATCAAAACGATACACATATAAAAGTATTAAATAGCATCGCAGTTTTATTCAAAGAGAATATAGAAACAAACTACATATGATAAAATTATAAAAAAATCATGATTTGCATAATACACTTGTTATTGGTGATAATAACGTGTTTCGTGGCAACAACTGCTTTTTCAGATTATTGCACTCAAGTGTGACAATTATTCCTAACATCTCTATAAATAGAAAATATAAACACCTCAAAAAAATTAAAGGAACACTTTGAAAACACATCAGATCTCACTGGGAAAAAATATCTTGCTGGATATCTATACTGACAAGACTAGGTAATGTGTTAGAAACGTAAGGATGCCCCATCGTTTGATGGAAATGAAAATGATCAACCTACAGAGGACTGAATTCAAAGACACCCCAAAAACCAAAGTGAAAAAATGATGCAGCAGGCTAGTCCCTTTTGCTGAAATTTCATTGCAGCAACTCAAAATGGTACTCAGTAGTTTGTATGGCCCCCACGTTCTTGTATGCATGCCTGAAAACATTGGGGCATGCTCCTAATGAGACGACGGATGGTATCCTGGGGCATTTCCTCCCAGATCTAGACTAGGGCATCACTGAGCTCCTGGACAGTCTAAGGTGCAGCCTGGCGGTGTCGGATGGACCGAAACATGATATCCCAGAGGTGTTCTATTGGATTTAGGTCAGGCAAGCGTGGGGGCATTCAATGGTATTAATTCTTTAATCCTCCAGGAACTGCCTGCATATTCTCGCAACATGAGGCCGGGCATTGTCATGCACCAGAAGGAACTCAGGACCCACTGCACCAGTGTATGGTCTGACAGTGGATCCAAGAATTTTATTCCGATACCTAATGGCAGCCAGGATGCCATTGTCTATGTTGTAGAGGTCTGTGCGTCCCTCCGTGGATATGCCTTCCCAGGCCATCACTCACCCACCACCAAAACAATCATGCCGAACGATGTTACAGGCAACATAACGTTCTCCACGGCTTCTCCAGGCCCTTTCACGTCTGTCACATGTGCTCAGGGTGAACCTGTTCTCATCTGTGAAAATCACAGGGCACCAGTGATGGATCTGCCAATTCTGGTGTTCAACGGCAAATGCCAATTGAGCTCTATGGTGCCCAGCAGTGAGCATAAGGCCCACTGGAGTATGTCGGGCCCTCAGGCCACCATCATGAAGTCTGTTTCTGGTTGTTTGGTCAGAGATATTCACACCAGTGGCATGCTTGAGGTCATTTTGTAGGGCTCTGGCAGTGCTCATCCTGTTCCTCCTTGCACAAAGAAGCAGATACCAGTCCTGCTGATGGGTTAAGGACCTTCTACAGCCCTGACCAGTTCTCCTAGAGTAACTGCCTGTCTCCTGGAATCTCCTCCATGCTCTTGAGACTGTGCTGGGAGACAAAGCAAACCTTCTGGCAATGGCACATATTGACATGCCATCTTGGCATCTTGGAGGAGCTGGACTGCCTGTGCAACCTCTGTAGGGTCCAGGTATCGCCTCATGCTACCAGTAGTGACACTGACCCTAGCTAAATGCAAAACTAGTGAAAAACAGTCAGAAAAGATGAGTAGGGAAACAAATGTCAGTGGCCTCCACCTGAAAAACCTTTTCTCTTTTGGGGGTCGTCTCATTGTTGCCATCTAGTGCACATGTTGTTAATTTCATTAACACCAAAGCAGCTGAAACAGATTAACAACCCTCTCTGCTACCTAACTGACCAGATCAATATCCCAGGAGTTTAATTGACTTGATGCTATACTCTGATTAAAAAGTGTTTCTTTAATTTTTTTTGAGTAGTATATAAGAAACATGTATATGCATGGGTACATAACATAAATAATCAAAATATCAACTGGCCCATAGGAGGAGAAAGATGGACACACAACATCAAGAGAGAAAAAAAAAACAAAAAAAAAAGAAAACACACACACAACAAGCAATCTACAAAAACAGTATAAAGAATCTCCGGATGTGGTCATTTCCATATAGACCAGGGGGAGGCATACAAAGAAGAGACCTTGACAGGCATCAATAGGCACGATATCCTCAATTTTACAACGTCAATAAATGGATAATAAACACCTCTAAATATAGATCAATAGAGTGTGGTCATTAAATAGATATTGATATGTGGATTACATTTCCTAGTCCACAGCCTACTTACTCCAACTTAATGATGTAGTTCAAATTCTCAAATAGCAAGGACAGAATATTGCCGAGAGGTGTTACATTTCGGTCACAACCAGGGGCGGACTGACAACTCATGGGGCCCCCGGACAATAGGGGATCACGGGGCCCCTGTGTCCATGCCCAAACTCAACAAAGCCTATGAAGAAAGGTACTAGGGGCATCTCATGGGGCCCCCTACTGACCCCAGGCCCTCGGACAGTGCCCGAGTTTCCAAATGGTCAGTCCGCCCCTGGTCACAACATTTTGTTAAATAATAGGAGTGCTTTACCTCTTGACATGCGCCTGTGATGCCTTTTAAGTAGGCAAAACAGGCAGGAAATTTTGTCAACGCATCAACGACCATGTAGCAAATATAAATTGAAGGAATTTGGAAAGCCCCATTGGGTGACATTTCGCCAAACGACATACATGTATATATATATACAGTTGTGTTCAAAATAATAGCAGTGTGTTGAAAAAAGTGAATAAAGCTCAAAATCCTTCTAATAGCTTTTATTTCCATACACACAAATGCATTGGGAACACTACACATTCTATTCCAAATCAAAACATGAAGAAAAATATCAAATTTGTGTTGTTCCTCTAAAGAAATTGAAGAAAAGTGAATATTAGACTGTTCAAAAAAATAGCAGTGTTTGTATTCTTCTTTACAAACTCAAACATTCACTATATAAACTGAAAAATGTTTGAAGATTTTGCTTTCCTTTGAATCACTTAATTAATATTTAGTTGTATAACCACTGTTTCTGAGAACTGCTGTACATCTGTGTTGCATGGAGTCAACCAACTTCTGGCACCTGTGAACAGGTATTCCAGCCCAGGATGATTGGACTACATTCCACAGTTCTTCTCTATTTCTTGGTTTTGCCTCAGAAACCCCACAAGTTTTCTATTGGATTAAGATCCGGGGATTGGGCTGGACACTCCATAATGTCAATCTTGTTGGTCTGGAACCAAGATGTTGCACGTTTACTGGTGTGTTTGGGGTCGTTGTCTTGTTCGAACACCCATTTCAAGGGCATTTCCTCTTCAGCATAAGGCAGCATGACCTCTTCAAGTATTCTGATGTATTCAAACTGATCCATGATCCCTGGTATGCGATAAATAGGCCCAACACCGTAGTATGAGAAACATCCCCATATCATGATGCTGGCGCAACCATGCTTCACTGTCTTCACAGTGTACTGTGGCTTGAATTCAGTGTTTGGGGGTCATCTGACAAACTGTCTCCGGCCACTAGACCCAAAAAGAACAATCTTACTTTCATCAGTCCACAAAATGTTGCGCCATTTCTCTTTAGGCCAGTCAATGTGCTCTTTGGCAAATTGTAACCTCTTCAGCACATGTCTTTTTTTCAACAGTGGGACTTTGCGGGGGCTTCTTGCAGATAGCTTGGCTTCACATAGGCGTCTTCTAATTGTAACAGTACTCAAAGGTAACTTTAGACCTTCTTTGATCTTCCTGGAGCTGATTGTTGGCTGAGTCCTTGCCATTTTGGCTATTTTTCTATCCATTCAAATGGTATTTTTTTTCGCTTTCTTCCACGTCTTTCAGATTTTTGGTTGCCATTTTAAAGCATTTGCGATCATTTTAGCTGAGCAGCCTATCATTTTCTGCACTTCTTTATATGTTTTTTCCTCTCCAATCAACTTTTTAATCAAGGTGCGCTGTTCTTCTGAACAATGTCTTGAACGACCCATTTTTCCTCAGAATTTCAGAGAGAAATGCACTGTAACTAGCATGTACAACATTTGCTGCCTTCCTTCCTTAAATAAGGGCAATAATTGCCACCTGTTTTTCAAAGAATGAATGACCTCACTAATAGAACTCCACACTGCTATTATTTTGAACATGCCCCTTTTCAATTAGTGATTCAATTACACAGAATCAGCAGCATGCATGTCATGACTGTTGGGTCTGTTGGATTTCTATTACTCTACTACACCTGCTAGTAAATTATTTGCCATGTAGAAATAGCATTTCTACCAAAAACAGTGATTGATCAGGCCTGACTGCTATTATTTTGAACACAACTGTATATATATATATATTCTATTTATAGAGATGTTATGAATATTTGTCACACTTGAGTGCAATTATCTGAAGAAGTGGTTGTTACCACGAAACACATTATTATTGCCAACAAGTGTATTGTGCAGATCATGATTTTTCAATCCTTTTATCATATGTAGTTTGTTTCTATATTCTGTTTGAATAAAACTGTTACGCTATTTTATACTATTATATGTGTATCCTTATGATTTTTCATATGCTTATACTGGTAGGCCACCCTTGATTCCCCTTTTTTGTTGTTTATTAGTATTATTATTGGTATTTTAGTTTGTAGGGTGGTGACCTCCCAATACAGGCATGTATATCTCACCTCACTTCAGCTGTATATATAGCCTCACTTTCTTATATATTTGAACACATTTACAATGACTCTATCAGCAGCCTGAAAAGCTTGCATAGGGAAGCATGGACCCAGCATGGATTCATCTTCTTTAAACACTTGCCTACTGGGCACTTTTACCCCTTCCTGCCCATGCCAATTTTCAGCTTTCAGGGCTGTAGCACTTTGAATGACAATTGTGCGGTCATGCAACACTCCACCAAAACAAAATGTTTATAATTTTTTTGAGCAAGATAGAGCTTTCTTTTGGTGGTATTTAATCACCACTGGGTTTTTTTTATTTTTTTTGCTAAACAAACTAAAAAATACAGAAAATAAAAAAAAAAGTTTTTTCTTAGTTTCTGTTATAATATTCTGTAAATAAGTAATTTTTCTCCTTCACTGATGTGCGCTAATGAAGCTGCAGTAATGGGCACTGATAGGGGGCACTGATAGGTGGCAATGATAGGCAACACTGGTGGGAATTGACATGCATAACTGATGGACACTGAAAGGCAGCACTGATAGGCGGCACTGAAAAGCAGCTCTGATGGGCACTGATATGTGGCATTGATGTGCACTGGTAGGTTCTGATATGTGGCATTGATGGGCACTGACAGGTGACATTGATGGGCATTGACAGGTGGCACTGATGGGGCTACACTGATCATCAGTGTAGATGTCACTTCTGAGGAATGCCGCTTACCGGCTCTCCTCTTCTCATGCGCTGTCAGAGCGAAGGAAGGACTGCCGATAACCGGCCTTTCCTGTTTACATGCGATCAGCTGTGATTGGATACAGCTGATCACATGACAGAGCTGATGTCATTGGCTCTTTGCAGTGGTCAGTGATCGTCTGTGTCCCAGGGACACAGCGGACCACCGATTGCCACGCGCCCCCAGGGGCGCACATGCGCAGTTAGAGTGGGAGGATGTAATATGATGTCCTCCCAGAACGAGAGAGCCTCCGCCCGCCCGTCATTTCCTTATATGGCAGGTGGGAGGCGGTTAAAGCCAAATTCTGACCCTGCTGCCTGCATGCCACATCAGTAACTGATATTTTTTTCTGACCAGATAATATTGATCCCATGGCCACTGTAGCCAATTTCCCTGTTCATAGCTGTCATAAAAGGAACCTGACATAATTTTTTGATGCTCTAGCCCAGTGTTTTTCAACCTTTGTTCAGTCTAGGCACTGTTTAAAATTCCACACATTTCCAAGGTACCTAAAATGTAAGAAACTAAATTAATAGTTTTACATACTGCAGTGGCTTCTACACAAGTAGGAAACCTAACATCAGCGGTGATTTATTACTACAATGTAATATACCTTTGTACACTTTCTCTTCTCTCTTCTCCCTCCATTTCTCTCCTTCATTCAGTTAGCATGACCCCAGTGCTGATGTAGAGGGGCTAACAAGCATGTCCTCAGATGCCCCTTCTCCTCCTTTTCAACCTAGGACATCGTCGGTTGTTAGGACATCAGCACCTAGCCCCCACTTTGTGTAACCATAAAAGGCAAGCTTTATCCCTCTGTAGGCTTGTTGACAATTTTTGAGCAATTTTTTAGGCACTTTTGTGCTGCTGAACTCTGCCTACAACAATCCGTGGCCCTGGAGATCTTGTGAGAAGCCACCACATTTTAATTTTACTTCCCAGAGGAAGAGCTGGCATCAGGACAGAGCACCACTGACCTCTGCCCAGAACCAACAGCACTTCTGGAGCTCCAGGGAGCCAGGGCGGGCAGCCCTTCCCCCCAGCAGCAGGCTAATACAGTGGAACTCCTAACTACAGCTGAAGCGCTGGTAGCGGGACAGATTACTGCCAATCTCTGCCCATACAAAGTCCTAGCAGAAGTGCTGGCAACAGGACAGAGGGTCCAAGACCTCTGCCCAGCACCAACAGCACTTCTGGACCTCCAGGGAGCCATGGCGGGCAGTCTATCTCCCCAGCAGCAAGCCAATACAGTGGAATGCCTAACCCCAGCTGAATCGCTGGCAACAGGACAGAGGGTCCAAAACCTCTGCCCCACACCCACAGCAGTTCTGGAGGACCAGGGAATGGAGAAGTCGTCCTCCTTCCCCAAAGGCAGATCTCCAGTCCAGGAGAGGAGGTGGCCGTGCTTCCTCCAGAGCAGCAGTTTCACAGTCCGAGAGAGGAGGTGATTTTCCTCCCTCCCCAGTGGCAGATCCACAGTCCGGGAGAGGAAGTGGTCATCCACCCTCCCCAGTGGCAGTTCCACAGTCCTGGAGAGGAGGTGGTCGTCCTCCCAACAGACAGCCAGTGCGGGGGAAACTGTTTTCCCTCCCCAGCAAGAATCTGTGCACCTGGGCGACAGATATGTCACCAGAGAAATGTTGTCCCAACAACCGGATGAGGTTACGTAAGATGGAGAAGCTGGCTCATCTCCCCAGCAGCAGTTCAAGGACCAAGGAGGGAGGAAGTCATCCTACCTCCCCAGCAGAAGATCCACAGTCCAGGAGAGGAGGTGGTCGTCTTCCCTTTCTAGCGGCAAATCTACAGTCCAGGAGAGGAGGTGGTTGTCCTCCCTCCCCAACAGTCAGCCATCGCAGAAGAAAACTGTTTTCCCTCCCCAGAAAGGATATGTGCACCTGGGCAACTGTGCCAGAGAAATGTCATCCCAGCAGCCGGATGCGGGAGATGGAGCAGCCAGCTCATCTCCCCAGCAGCAGTTCAAGGACAAGGGGGGGGGAAGTCAACCTCCCTCCCCAGCAGCAGATCCACAGTTTGGGAGAAGAGGTGGTCATCCTCCCTCCGCAGAAGCAAGCCCCAGGAGAGGAGAGGAAGTTGTCGTCTTCCCTCCCCAACAGTCAGCCAGAGCGGAGGCTGTGGAGTCCCCAGCTGAAGCGTTGGCAACAGGGCAGAGTGCTGCTGGCCGTTGTCTAGCACCTACCCTGTCTTCACGCTCCCATGGAGTTGGGGAAGTCAGCCCCTCTCCCCAGCAGCAGACTGAGTACTGGAATGGTAAAGACTCCATATCTGAAGCACCGGCAACCAGATAGAGGATCCATAACCTCTGCCCCTCAACTACCAATGACAACTCTTCCCTGCAGCCAAGAATGGAGATTGTGTGTACCGACTATTTGGGTTCACTATGCCCTACTAACGCAGATTTTGTCTGCTTCATCTGGTCAGAGCATGGAAAAGAGCTTGGTTCATCCTCTGATCACATGGATGGATAATAATGTGATGAACGCTGACAGCGAAGCTTGGAATAATTCTCTGCATAAAGACAATAAAGTTTCCCTTCTGCAGTGGACGGAACGGTGTAACATTAATCTTGTACAGGTTAATGGACAGAGCTAATTTGGTGGCCCTGCTGCCAACTGGGTTGGAGAAGCTCCTTCACTTGGGACAGAAATATTTATCAACAATCTCCGTCAAGAAATCTATGAAGATAAATTAATTCTACTTTTTCAAACTGTTGAAATATTGTATAAGTTTTGTCTTATGATGGACAGATTATACAAGTGAAAGCAAACACCTGATAGACAGCACGTGTAATGGACTTTGTGTATTCAGGTGTGGGCTTGTTGCCAGTCTGTCTGGGGTGGTTTCCCTTATTAATCCAAGCATTGTCTGGGTGCTTGGCTGTTGCTTAGCTTACTGTTAACTAGATCACTGTTAGCTGTTGGCAGTACTGTTTACCGTTTGCATTATTTATGATAATGTGATCAAGCTCTTACCTAATGTGTGGATGTGTGGGATGTTTATCCCAAAGTGTAATATTTGTTTTATTATTCATGTGGGGACTGCTCCTTTTCCTGAAATTTATAAAAATCAGTATTTCTGTTTAATAAATAGTTCCAGTGTGTATCAAGCCAATCTCGTCTAATCTTGGGTGCAATGCCCAGCTATAATACCTTGGTCCTGTGTCGCAGTGGCGAGGAAGTGGTTCTCTGGCGGAATTACCCAATCGGGGTGACAGGCACTCCATCACACCTCCCACCCTATCTACATCACAGTGTACCCCCCTTACCTTGTGCTGCTGCCAGGAAAAAGCTGGGGCAGAACTGGGAAGCAGAAAGTGCAGGTTCTGGAGGAAGACCAGAGGAGGCCTGGAGTCATGCTGAGACCAGGAGAGCAGTGGTGTTTTTAGTTTTTTTGCTGCCCTAGGCAACACAAGAAAATTGGACACGCCTCCCTCCCCAGCGGAGAGAGGCTGATACTGACCAACACCAGACCGCCTCCCCCTTCACCCCGTGGAGCGAGCCTGACAGTGACCAACAGCACCCCTGCCCCATCCCCCCTCACATCCAAGAGTCCAAGAGAGTCTTACACTAACATGCCCCCTGGCGACAGAGAGAAAGACTCTTATCTTCACAGCTCTGGATGATCCCAGGAACAACAGTCAGGCTCTTCATACACCATCAAGCAGCCCGCAACCTCTCTCAGATTCCACCTGGTCCCCATGCCGCATATGTCCCTTCTTCTGGAGGACAGTGCTGCCCCCTTAAAAAATGCCGACCTAGGCAAATGCCTTGTTTGCCTTGTGGAAAATACACCCCTGCAGGAGAGGCTGAAATGAGGGGGTGCTGCATCTACACAGAGAGGTATAGGATCTGTAGGAGGAGTTCTTCTCTCCTCTCTGCTGCCAACTACTGAGACAGCAGAGAAGAGACAAGCCTCTCCGCAGTTGAATGGAGAAGTGCAGAATCTGGCGGAGCAGTTCTATGCTCCTCTCTGCTGTGGCCTGCTGAGACAAGGTGCAAGCAGAGACAAGGAGAGTGTTGCAGCTGCAGGATAAGTGTGAGGGCCACATGAAATGGCCTGGCATGCCGGATTTGGCCCACTGGCCTTGTCTTTGACATGTGTGACTTAGGCTTTACACCTACTTTGAAGAGCAGGTGTACTCAATGGGGGGGATTTACTAAAACTGGAGCATTCAAAAATCTGGTGCAGCTCTGCATAGGTCAGGTTTCAGGTTTTATTGTCAAAGCTTAACTGAACAAGCTGATTGACTACCATGCACAGCTGCACCAGAATCTGAGTGCTCCAGTATTAGTAAATCTCCAACCATGTACATACTTTATTCTTTTATATAAAGTGTAATCTCTTAGATTGTAAGCTTCAAGGAGCAGGGCCCTCCTAACCCTCTTGTATTGAACCGTATTGTTGCTGTATTGTCTCCCGTTATATTGTAAAGCACTGAGCAAACTGTTGTCACTATATAAATCCTGTATAATAATAATAATAATAATAATCATCTATAAAAACTTTGCTGGCTGCTCTACAACCATAGCTATTGCCCACAAAACAAAAAATGTAAGACTGGTACGGACATTTTTGTTCTTCTAAAATCTTTTGTTTTGTAGTATTTATTTAGTGCTATAACCACTACTTGAAGTATTTCTAGAATTTCTCTTACTAATAAATAGAAGGTACAATACAAACCCTCTAGTTTCTAAGTGACACAGTACACAATAGAGCTGCCGGTGGGCTGTATGGCTACGGCTTTGATTGCATTTGCACTCTGTTGGGGATGAATTTTATTCCTTGTGGTTTCATGTAAAAATGGCCATTGAATAAGAACTCGTGACCGAGCAGCTAAGCAGCTTTCTGAAAACTGTGTGTGGGTATATTTAAGTCTAACTTTGTAGTGTTTTTATATATCTAGCACTGGCAGAAGAACAGGTCACAAATATGACCAGACCCATGTTCTATCGAAGTTGTTGATAGGAGGCTAAATTCAGAGATGCATTGTGAATCTTAGGTAGGGGTGTTCAAACACACTTATATTTCTTATATACAGTTTATATTTTTTAAATAATCGAAAATCTATAAATGTAAAGAACTACAACCTCATTTGTTCACAAATTTGAAGTTGTGTTATGTTACAAAACATTCCTGGCAAGGTGAATCAATTGGAAAAAATGGTGCTTGCTAGGAAGCTTTGCAGCTGTACTAAAGTTGTAAAGTTCACTCAGTTTTATCATAATTAGTTATGTAAATCCACTCCGGCCAGATTCCAGGAAACACCTGACATATTAGGTGGGTGAGTGGGTCTGCTTCTTGAAGTGTTCCTTTTTTTACCTTTATGTGTCACCAGTCAGTTCCAACCTTTCAAAGAAGGGTTGAATCTGTCTGGAGGTTGTAATGAAGCAGTTCCACCAAACTAAATATAGCAGGCTTACTCCATGGGGTTGATTTACTAAAGGCAAAAACAGGGTATTTACTTTGCAAGGGAAGTTGCACTTTGCAAGAGTATTTTCCCCAGAGCTTAGTGAATGTGGCAAAATTTCACTTTGCAATGAATACCCAATCACATGCAAGGAAAATTTTAAAGTGTACAATCTATTTTCCTTTAGTAAATTCACCCCTTTGTGACAGACAAGTAATCACAGTGGGTATGTTTGGGAATGCCTCTACTACATTAGAAAAAAAATGGGTTCTCAGATTAGAAAAAGAGAAATACCTTAAACAGAGAACATGTGTACCCTGCAGGTATTTCAAGGATGACTGGACTGGAATGTACTTTAACCACCTTCCGCCCGCCATATAGTACAATGACGGGCGCAAGGTGGTTCTCTCGTTCTGGGAGGACGTCATATGAAGTCCTTCCATTCCCTCGGACACAGCAGATCACGGAAAGAGCAGAAGATGTCGGATCGGTCATGTGATCAGCTGTGTCCAATCACAGCTGATCACATGTAAACACGGAAATGGCGGTTATCGGCATTTCTCTCCTCTTGAGCTGTCACGCTGACCGCTCATGAGGAGAGGAGAGCCGGTAATCGGCTTTCCGCAGAGGGGACATGTACACTGATCATCACGGCACTGATGATCAGTGTGGCCCCAGAAGTGCCACCTGTCAGTGTCCATCAGTGCCAGCAGTCATTGCTCATCAGTGCCACGTGCCAGTGCCCATCAGTGCCACATCATTGCTGCATACCAGTGCACATCAATGCCACATATCAGTGCCCATCTGAGCTGCCTTTCAATGTCACCCATCAGTGCCAGTCAGTGCCACCTATCAATGCCAATCAGTGCCACCTAGTGTTGCCTATCAGTGAGCATCAGTGCCGCCTAACAGTGCCAGTCAGTGCGCCTAACAGTGCCATATATCAGTGTCATGTATCAGTGCTGCCTTTCAGTGCCCAGTGATGTCTGTCAATGCCCATCAGTGCCACCTACCAGTGCCTCCTTATCAGTGCCCATCAGTGCCACCTATCAGTGTCCATCAGTGCAGCCTATCAGTGCCCATCACTGCAGCCTCATTAGCGCACATCAGTGAAGGAGAAAAATCACTTATTTACAAAATTTTATAACAAAAACTAAGAAAAAAAATGGTTTTTTTTCAAAATTTTCAGTGGTTTTTGGTTTGTTTAAGAAAAAATAAAAATCCCAGAGGTGATTAAATACCACCAAAAGAAAGCTCTGTCTCAAAAAAATGATAAAAATGTAATATGGGTACAGTGTTGCATGACTGCGCAATTGTCATTCAAAGTGTGACAGCGCTGAAAGCTGGAATCTGGCCTGGGCAGGAAGGGGGTATAACTGCCCTGTAGGCTAGTGGTTAAAGAGTGGGGATAGAAGCAGGTCAGTATACATGCATGCACACTTACTCCTCTAATGTGCGGTTAACGCACTGTAACAAATACTATGCATGCTAAACCAATGTATAACAAATACATCATTAACATACATATCTGTGCAATGTTTTTAGTTTTGAAACATCCACATATTCAGAGCTATACTTACAGCAGTTCTATCATTCTGGTAATCTTCATTTATTATTTTCTATATCTTCCCAAAAGTAGGACTGGGTGTGCCTGTGTGCAGGGTATGATTGCATCTGTGTGCTGGAGCTCACTTTTATATTTTATGGTTTCCACTGCATGTAATATTTTGGTAGAAATTTCAGAGCCAGTAAATCATGTTTTTGTTCCCTTTTCTTTCAAGATTTTTAAATCTTTGAACAGAAGACAGTTGGATACTTTTACAGATTTCAACATCACATCCTTCTCTGTTCCCCTTTATCTTACTATGAATTTAAATGATGAGAAGCCCCTAAGTGACCAGCAGGGCTTATTTTATCATGAAACCTACCCTGCCAATCACAGTTCTCCTGTTAATAAATGAAGTTCAGAACCACAAGTTTTCTGGATTGCAGTGATGTGCGTACCACTGTACCCTTGTCCGTACATGCCCCCAATCAAGAGATCAGATACAAAGTTCAGGCACTGGCATGCTTCTGTTCTCTGTGCACCACTATGCAGCTGCACAGAATTAGTTTTCTGCCTATCTGTTTGGCATTCCGTTATGATCAGCATGATCATAGAGATACAGATCTCTGTATTACAAGCAAACAAGTTCAGTACATTAACCTCTTACCGCCCACCCCAATGTCACCAAACCGCGCTGTGTGTGTCTATGGATGCACACAGACAGGCTTGGGAATGCATGCCACCATATGGCTTGCTATTGGGGCAAACGCATTAGAGGAGGAGTGGAGAGCACCAACAGGACACCACAGAGAAGGAGGTAAGAGGCTGCTCTGTGCAATACCATGTAGGTATAACATGGTTATTGTCTTAACTTAAAGAGAAAAATACCCTTTACAGCTGCTTTGAGGTAAACTTTACACACTTTGGTTTTTGAGATTTAGGACAATATACAAGAACAAAAGCAAGCTAATGGTCCCTATATAATGGGCTGACTAATTTATAGACATTGTTACCACTGTAAATAGGTACACTTTGATGTGTTGCTTGGTCATAAAAAAAACAACAATAAAATATGTATGTTTTTGTGTAATACTATTTCAGATGAGTGTGTGTATGAAATAACTATATTCTGATTTCTTTTATAACAACAAAGTAAACTTACAGTAAGATCACTTCTAATGGCAAAGTTCTCCGGTTTGACATCACAAAGGTGGAGCCGATGAGAAAACTCGGTGTCAAACTGATGGACCATATCTAAGAAACTGATGGCAATATCAAGGAGAGCGTCCATCTTTTCCTCACCTGTTTTGCACTGACCAACCACTTCTTCTAAGGAGAAGAGATTTTGTTTCCAAGAGTGTCCAGCACTCAGAAATTCAACTGCATAGAAGTGGCCGCAAGTTCCAATGACCTGTAAGACATGTCTACTAAAGTCTTGTAACAAGTTAAAGAGCAGATACTCTTCTTGTTGAAATAAAGACCACATACTGGCAAGCTCCACTTTCCAGTTCTGATTCTTCTTCTTTTCTGTCCAAATAGGCATTATAGTATTGTTTGGTAAATCCAAACCCAGAACATTTTTGATTTCCACAGCTACCATCACAAGCAAATCAGTGTCTGATATACTCTGAGGATCTGGCCCATTTGATAAGTCAGGAGCCTGGAATTTAGAAAATGCATCATTTTTAGACTTCAGAATGATTGATGTGCCTTGCCAGTCAGCATGTATGACCTTTTTCCCTCGGTGGTAGAATAGGCAGTGTTTATAAATTAACTTCTTCGTCACACACAGATCTTCACATAGGTCTCCAGTCACAGCTCCATCAGTGTAATCATAACACTAGAGAAAAAAGAGATATGCTATGTTTTAGTATGGATATGTGATTTCCATGTTACAGAGAAATTAAATCTTTGTATAAGTGAGAAGGGAATCAATATGAATTGCATGTGCAAATATAGCCTGCTTTATAGGGTACCTCTGTTCCCCCAAAGGAAGCCACTGCAGTGTTGTCTCAGTAATTCTAGCCAGTGTTTTCCTGCTATAGCTAAGAGGGTAGGTTGCCTCCTTCTGGCTCATATAGAATGATATCGCCAATGAGGAAGGCCTACTCTGCAGCAGGAAGACACAACACACTGGCCATCCAAACACAGATGCACACTGCACAGAAACCTTTCCATCTTCCTGAAGTCTAGCTTAGCTCCTTCCACAGAGACTTCTCATTATTTTAATCTCAATACAACCTGCTGTCCAGTAAAGGCTGTTCTTGATGTTATATAGCTCTCTAGTACAACTCTTCACTACAAAAAATGACTAAAAGAAAGGAAAGTCCATAGCTACCAGACATGAGCCTGCATCTTATAACCTGCTAGTGAAATCTAGAATCTAGATGCTATAGAATCACAATCATTGTTCCTCTCTCCAGTTTTATTTTATATGCCTCCCAATTGTCCCTCATTTAGAGGGATTGTCCCTATTTTGCAGCCAAACCCTTTGTTCCTTCTTGATCCTCAGTTGTCTCTCTTTTTGTTCTAATGTTTAGACCTCTATAAAATAATGTACTATTTAGCAACCAAAAATGTTATTCTACAATACTTTTCATTAGACATTCTATAAAGGAAAAGTAATGGTGAAACAAAAACCTGTGGGTTTAACTTTAACATTTTTATATTTGAATTCTTCATAGTCGAGTAATTTGGGGCAATGCAAGGGTGTCCTTTTAATGATAGTTTGCACTGAAAGATGTCCCTCTTTCTCATTTCAGAAAGCTGTAAGGTATGGTTTTATAATATGAGTCCAACAAAATATAGACGGAGGGTCACCCAGATTTTTCTACTATACTGACTACATGAATGGACTGCGTTCACCATGTTCTATAGCAGGGTCTCCAAACTATGTCCCTCCAGCTGTTGAAGTACCCATCACGTCTCTGCCTCTGGGAGTCTTGCATGTGGTTGTCAGAATCTTGCAAGGCTTCATGGGAATTGCAGTTCCTCAACACCCGGGGAGCCATAGTTTGGAGACCCCTGTTCTATAGGAACACTATGAAGAGACCTTAAAGTGGACCTACCATTAAAATGAATCGCTGAGGAACATTATTACATGTTGTTTTTCTTGCCATGAATAGAAAGCTGCCACTTTCAATCACCCCCTAAATATGATCCTTGGCTACTAGAGCTGTGGGTGTTTCATGCCAAATCCTTTTAGTTGTAAAGAACCTATCTGGAGACTTGCAATAAAATAACAGCATCAGCAAGACACAACCAGTAAAGAAGGCACTGTAAGCAAATATGGCCACTCCCAGAAACATAAATAATTACAAGTTATACATAGAAGTAAGGTTTATAAGCCATGAACACACACTGATAGCAGTATTTTTTATATAAAAGTGGTTATAAAGGGTAAAATTTTTTTTTATCTTAATGCATTTCTTGCATTAAGGTAAAAAATGTTTAGACATAAGTATCCCCCTCACCCCCATTTTACTTACCTGAGCCCTTATTCGATCCAGCACTATGCCCGTCTGTAGCTCTTCTATCCATTCACTTCCTGGTCTCTAAGGATATGCAGAGGCAGTGGGAGCCATGGACTACCACCATAGGGAACCCGAGAAGAGGGGATTCAGGGCTGCTCTGTCCATTTCCATTGCGCAGAGCAGGTAAGTACAAACTTTTTATTGTTTTTTTCTTTTGGCTAAAGAACATTTATAATCACTTTAAACCTTAAATCCATAAACATCTCGTAAAAATATAGGAATATATTTTTTTAATTTTGGATAGATTAAGGGACGGTTATAACCCCTGACGTTTTTTTTCCTTTTTGCCATCTGTGTTCCTTTGGGGATTTTTCCCTTCACTTCCTGTCCCATAGCCTAAACAGGGTGGTGAGAGGCAACCCCTCCAAAATGAGTGAATCCCAGGGTGTCACCAGGGTCATCAAAACTAGTATCCCCATTGGATGATATCTCCTCTATTACTGTTCTGGTGTCAACCCTTGGGATTTTCTTTTACTTTCACTTTTGAAGATAATGGTAAACATGATGAAAAGAGAAGGTGAATCACCCTAACAGAGGTACAGACAGCAATAAAAACTGACGTGTTGTAATCCCTCTCCACTCTGTCCAAAACTAAAAATGTTTTTTTCCTTTAGTTATACTTTAAGAAAGATTGGGAAGGTTACAACCTTTGTCAGAGTTTAACTACTGTCTAGCTCTGCATTGGGGAGATTTTCCCTCACTTCCTGTTCTATTTGACATCTTTAACTTAAATAGGAAGTGCTGAAAAGAATCTCATCAATGGGGATGCAGATACAGGAATTACTACAGGCATTTGAACCCATCCCTTCTCTGCCAGTACAAGTTTTCGGGATAGTTTGGTGTGGAGTTAATAATACAATCAAAGTTACAGTGGAATGCATACAAATCTGAATGACATCAACTGTCCCAGTCGAAGCTCAAGCCTCTGTCAAATTGAGAGTCTCTAGGAAGACTTGCTCTTCACCAACAATCCCCAACTTGACAGAACAAATGTGCAAACAGGAATGGGCATAAATTCAGATTTCAGGTGTGCAAAGCTGGAAAAGACACACTCCAAAACCCTTACATCTGGAAGTTACAGATCAGTCAACAATGTATGTAACCACCAAACAGTCTGCATTTTAGTTTGATTAACTTATATCTTACAGTAAAACTTTTATTGAATCTATAAGGCACAAGTATCATACACAAGAAAATGGGCCAAATCTGGCCCTCCAGGCCATTTCATGTGGCCCTTGCACCTTTCTTTCAGGTATCTCCTTGTCTCCGCCCCCACCTTGTCTCAGCAATTGGCAGCAGAGAGGACAATATAACTCCTCTGCCAAATCCTGCACCTCTCAGTGCAGCTGCAGCATCCCCTCATCTCTACCTCCCCTGGTCTCAGCATTCAGACTCCGGTAACTGACTCCACTCCTCCTCTGGTCCTCCTCCAGACCCTGCACTCTATGCTTTTCAGCTCTGCCCCCAAAGGGAGTGCACAGTGATGTTAGGGAGTGTGTGGGATTCTTGACATCTAATGTAATGGGGGGTGGGGTGCTCTGGACATCTAGTCTTACAGATACAACTGGCCCTTTGAGGGCAACCATAATGCTAATACAGCCTGCAATGAAATGGGGTTTGGCACCCCTGCTCTAAGGTGTTAGGCATGTTGTTCCAGTGACTATTAAACCCATTTTATTTCCAGGTTGTAAAACTTAAAAACGTGTCCAAAGTAGTAAACATATATATTATGTACAGTACTTTGTCTACCAACTCTGGAATCACCATTAACGTGTATACATTGTTAATGCCTGATTAGATCTTCGAGATTACATACTGAGACCTTAAGGACCAATACTAGCCTCCATAGCAGTATTTTTACTACTAGGCTCTTGTCATAGGATGTGTCTAGTCCTCATTAACAGCATGAAAAATACCAGTCCAAGCTATGCAAAATCAACTTTGTTATTGATATAGAAATTCAAGAAGACATTCAACTTTAATAGCGTTAGCAAAGGTAAATCTGGTTGTTATGGGTTATTATATTTTGCACATTATCAGTGTTTCTTGAATTGCCCGGTTCCAGTAAAACTTTATATATGGACCTACTTATAAAGCTTGTAAAATAACTGCAGTTCATTTCATCTCACTTTACCTTATGTTGCTTGCACAAGCTTTTCTACGACATAACAGCTGGAAATAGAACAATGTGATTTCACATGGAAGGGTAAAATGGAAGAAAATAGATAATTTAACAAAACAAAATCTGAATTGAAGCAGTGGATAAAACAGAAAAATCTTTAGAAAATGTATTCCCTAACTTCCCCATCACAGAACATAATTAATTACAACTGGTTAAAGCAAAAAAAAAAAACTATGAATTTTTCGGCAAAAAAAAAATAGAAAGTTTATATCAACTAAAAAAAAAATTTTACTTTAGGCCAAATTTGGCAAAACAGAAAGGATAAATTAAACAGCCTAATAAAAAGAAATGTAATACTGTTATAACTCTGCACTAAACCTAATTTAAATAAAGTAATAGTTGCCAATAAAACAACAGTATATTGAAAGGATATAGCTACTATCATTCAGAAAAGTAATCATACAGAACACGTATAATCAAGGCTTTTTTGTCAGCGGCAACATTGGGGAACACGGTTCTGGCACCTTCAGCACTGAATGTATGTAGTGGCAAGAGATGCTAGGGTGTGCTGGAGGGTCTATTGTTGGCCAATAGATACTGGAGTGTGCTGGAGGGTCTACTGTTAGCCAGTAGATGCTGGGGTGTGCTGTGGGCAGCTATTGTTACTGGTTATAAATGTATAAAAAAGTGCAGCACTAAAAAGTATGCAGTATGCTCCAGTCCAATAATGATGTATCAATGAGAAGATAAAATAATAAATAAAGTCATATTATAAATAGTATTATATGCTCCAGTCCGGTAATACTGTATCCATATAAATGATAAAAATGATAAATAAAATAATATAAATAAAATGGTCACAGTTCGTGATACGTGATTAATACAGGAGTTGCTAGTGCCTTCACAATCCAGTGGCGATAGACAATAAAAATATGCACTCACCAGATGCGTATCTTTCAATACGCATATAATCAATAAACCAGAGGTCCCCCTCATGGGATGGGATGGATGAGCTGGGCAGTCTTAACGGAATCTCCTCCCTCTGGGTAATGGGCATGGTGCTGGGCAGCTTACACCGAAACCTGTGTCATCCTCTGGATTGGTGTCAAATGCTACAACTCCTGTGTCTTGAGACTTGGGCTCTAAAAACGGATGTTAGCTCGCCAGGGAGCCAACGAAAAAATT